ATTCCCCCAACAAACAAGTACGAGCATGCAAAAAAAACAAAGTCATAAAAAAGGCGAACGTCAAGAAACAGTACTTTGAAATACTGATCCTTGGCGTTCGCCAATCTACCGAGTACAACTCTACAACTAGCAAAATTCGCAATTTCTTTAATTTGACATATCTGTCAAATGGTTACACCGATCACATCGTGAATATCTCATAAATCATGATGCTCAAGGGCATCTCGATTTTTCATATTTATGACATTGACAGTTGCATTGTCCACTGTCACTCGGCACACTTGATTTTTTGTCGATTTTTGACAGTCTGTCAATTGGAACTGTTCAAGGTCAAGTCAATGTCACTATGCGATTGATCTTGCCGGATTTCATTTTTATTGACAGGTGAAAACGTCAATTTTCATCTTTCAATTGCCTTCGCATATTACATCCATTTTGACACTTTCAATAACGTTCCTCTGTCCCACAAGTACGAGCACGTGAAAAAAAAGGCCGGAAGTACCCTTCAACTCAACCGCCTGCCGCGCCCCCCCCCATAGTTTCTAAAAAAAAAGAGTCCAAAAATCGAAAAACCAAATTTTTGCTGGTAAAACCTTTCAAAATTTGATCTTTCGATTTTTGGACTCTTTTATTAATTTTATATGCTTTCTCCAATGTTCTCACTAATGAACTCAATCGTGTTTCATCTTTAAAAGTTTTAAGATAACAATTCTTTAACACTTTGCAGCTTTAAAATATTCACACAGTACCAAATGTATATTGATAAACGATATGTGTTTGTAATACACGCATCGCCAGTTTACATTAGTTTGTTCATTAAAAAGTGCTTTCCAATTGTTCAACAATCGCCATTGAATATATGAGACTTGCTGTACATTTCGCCTATTTCGATACGACAATCTTGATTTTTCATCACTCATCTTATTTTTCGGAGTGCACTCATGCTTTATTGCAAAATTTTCAATCGCAATGCAGAGGAACATTTCACTAAACTTACATACATTTAAAGACGATTGCCGCTATCCGTCAATTCGCTCCTAACACATGAAATCTGATAAGACATTCAGTGGTTAACATGTGTTTTCAAAAGACTTATTTGTTAAACACGTTCACGTCGGATCGTTTTCAATACAATGTGATTTCTACTCTTTCATGTAAATTGACATGTCACATTTGTTCTGCCCATCCACTGTTACTTTGGTATTTTTACCGTGATCCTTTACAGTGTTCTTTGCAATTGACTGACATTACATTCGTTTTTCCAGTAAAAGTTTTCAACCACAATGATAAACGACTCTTTAGCAAACATTCACACATTTAACAAAGTCTTTTGAATCAACGGTATACGACAATGCGGTTCTTTCTTATAGTACGAATAGTGAACATTCTCACAGATGATGCATCTTTCACTGCAAAACGTAAGCCTGTTAATTCACTTCTTAAGATTTAATCGCACATTTTGCTACATAGCATATTCACAGTACCAAACGTATACTTATTTACGATATGTGTTTGTAATACACGCATCGTGCGTTCACACCAGTTCGTTTTTTTGCATTAGTGATTTTTATGTTTTCCATGATCAAACTACCATTTGCCAAGCGTTTCCGACCATTCGACAATTAATTTGGTTTTAAAATCGTGGTCTTTCCCTTTGCTCTTTGCTGCAGTGCACTGACATGCCATTTGTTTTTCAACTAAAAATTTTCAATCACAATGATGAACGATTCCTTCACAAAAGTACAAACATTTGACGAAGACATTTGTATCGTTGGTATCCAACAATACGGTCTTCTAACAGTAGTGAAAGTGAACAGTGCTACTCATTCTCACATTGTTTCCTATATGGATTGCAAAATCTTGCCACCAATGATCTTTGCTTCCTGATCTCTAAAGACTGA